TTTTTTTTTTTTTTGATCAAATCAGCCCATGTTAGTTCTAATAACCACAAAAGTAAAAGCCTTGAGAAGAAAAGAACAAGAATTTTAATAATCTACAGTGTAAAAAAGTACTTGTTCAGTCACTAACGAACAATCTTCAAAACTGAATGTGCATCTCGTTCTACGACAAAAGCAGAAAAATAATCAAGCAAAAAAATGAGCAAAGGAAGAGGGGTGGAACGTCCAAGGATTAAGTTCCGTTACAAAAAAAAACTACCATCTGTTATGACGAATTAACATCGCATTGTAAATGTCTGAACACATTCTTGTAAAATCACAACGGCTCCAAAGAATAAACTAAAAAAACGGAAAGGAACGTCATGTGATTTTTCTCCAAATCTTTTGCAAAAAATATTTCTTCTCCTTGCTATACCTGTCTTCTCTCCCCCCTCAAAGCTAAACACCAGTAGAACTTTAAGAAAAATGACACGCAAACGACTAGCATGATCTATATCAGCCCTTAACTCTGAATTTATTTATGCAGCAACGAAAATGACTAGCAAAGAATGGAAGGTGTGAACTGCTCGCTAACAAGCGCCAAAGCCACCGCGTCTGAAAGAGCATTAATGAAAAACAAATGGACAGACTACATCAATAACAGCAGCAAACATATGATCACATTTTTGACGCATGAATAAGAACGGTGGAGGAAAATCCTTCTCCTCGGTTCACACAGAGGCGTTGTAAGATGGGATAGAGAAGTTTGCGAATATCCTCAATGAAGAAAAAACGCACAAATAAAGACCAATAAAAAGAACGATTTCAGATATTAAAAAAAAAACTTTCTTGGTTTAAAAGATAACATTTTGGACAATAAAACTCCGGATGATGTAAATGAGTCTGATGAAATTCTGAATTGTGAAACGCAAAATATCTGAAAAAACCAACCCGAGAGGCTTGAGTCATCATTCTGATTGCCTCTTCTGCTTCCGCTATGCGCTGAACCAGCATCGTTCACGCGACTTTGCTGACCGCCCATTAGCTCACCATTTCCACCAAATCCTGAGCAAATCTATCAATGTAACATTATATTACTCTGTTAAATTTTTTTTCTTTTAGAAGATCGACTTTTGACAATGTAAGTATAGGGGAATAATTTCTTTAAGATGCTGTCGTCGGGTTGAGTGAAAAAAGTGACAACTGATACTAGTGGTAAAGACTTGTCCACAGTCTAATGCGCTTCCACAAATTAAAAAGCTCCTTAAAATTTAAGCAAAAGACTTTTTCTGGAATGGTTTCGATCAAACTGTACAACATGGAACGAAAGCAAATTTTATTGAGTATTCAGGAACGTTTTGCAAATAAAATATTAAAAACTTTCAAAAATCAGCTAGTTCTTTTGAGACCACCAGGCGGAAAGACTTAATATTTTGTCGTCACTTTAAACCGTTTTTCACATTTTCCCTACTGTTTTACAATTAAAGTTATGAAAAAAAATAAGCAAAATAAGAACTTTTGGCAATAAAAAGTAGCCACTAACAAGATGGACAATAAAGAATACTTTCAAGTAAACTTGCTGACTACATCATATAAAACAAAATCGAGACCACTTCAAGATATGAATAAAGTTAGAAAATACGACAGGAGTACGTATATATAATGTTTCTGAAGTGACACTAAGAAAGAACCAAGGGTTAAACTGAAAGGAAAGAAAACAAAGCCATTGCCGATGCAAAAAGGAGTGCCGTTCATAATATTTCTCGCTTATCTTTACAAAAATAATAAATGCCAATAAATTATTCCGAAAAGCAACAACAATGTAAGCCATTATCGCAGTCGAACGAATGATTCATTCTAAGATAGAGACAGATCAATTCAAAAAATAAATTTTTGTTACCTTAGAAGTCAGTTCGTAACCGAGCTACAACGATGTTTATTTCCCTCTTCTTATAACGTAACTGCTTCTAGTAATCTGCTCTGCTCTGAAGTATACCAACAACAATTATTATCAATAAATTTTAGTGATAATTACTGCTCATGAATTGTCATGTCGTAAGCACTGACGAAACTAAACCGGACAAAAAAACTTTGTCCAACAACAGAATCCAAAAAAAAAAATTCTTCTGTAAAGCGATAACAGCAACGTCAGCTACAGCTCGCAGAAGAATGATAGTGAAAACTGAATACGAGAAGAAAAAAAAAGGCAAATTAATAAGATGTGGAAATGAAATCTACAGTTTTGACTAAACTAGTAACAACTACAGGAGCAAACGTACTTATCCTGTATCAAAACAGAACGCCCACAGTCATAATGTTGACGAGAAGGATACATTTAAACGAAAAAGTGGGGGAAGAGTCAAAAACTCAACCTTACTAGTACCATCGACATTATTGCAGCCACCCGCTATTGCTACTACTTAAGACGAACATTTTAAACATGCTAAACAACACTGTGAAATAGAACATCTTAATAGCTAGCGCTTGAGAATCTATAAAAAAAATGAAGTGTTTCTTCCATTAAAACTCCATTAACGAGCATATAAAAACCTTATCAAAATATTTAAGCCATCAGCATTCGACTGATTTTACGTACATGTCCAACGATCTTTAGCACATCCACTACAACAACAAACAGCTTCACGACAGAAAATAATTTTTAAATCGAAAAATCACTACTGCTATCACCTGCAGCAACAGCAGCAGCAACAACAACAAATCGGATACATCAGTCTTCATCTCCCATGTATACATGCAAACGTTAACAGCAACAAAAGCA